GGTTTGGGGGGGGCTCAAGGCCCTGGGATTTGGGGTCATTCTGTAGGATTTTGGGACATTTTATAGGATTTGGGGTCATTCTGTAGGATTTGGGGTCATTCTGTAGGATTTGGGGTCATTCTGTAGGATTTTGGGTCATTCTATAGGATTTTGGGGTCATTCTGTAGGATTTTGGGGTAATTTTCTAGGATTTTGGGGTCATTCTATAGGATTTTGGGGTCATTCTGTAGGATTTTGGGGTAATTTTCTAGGATTTTGGGGTCATTCTATAGGATTTTGGGTCATTCTGTAGGATTTTGAGGTCATTCTGTAGGATTTGGGGTCATTCTGTAGGATTTGGGTCATTGTGTAGGATTTTGGGACATTCTGTAGGATTTTGGCTCATTCTCTAGGATTTTGGGGTCATTCTATAGGATTTGGGGACATTTTATAGGATTTGGGGTCATTCCCTGGTTTGGGGTCATTCCTGGATTTTTGGGTTATTCCAGGGATTTGGGGTCACTCCTGGGATTCGGGGCCATTCCTGGGATTTGGGGTCGTTCGTGGGTTTTGGGGTCACTCCTGGGATTTGGGGTCATTCCCAGGGTTTGGGGTGACCCCCAGGGGTTGGGGGTGACCCCCCAGGGGTTTGGGGTGACCCCCCGGGGTTTGGGGTGACCCCCCGGGGTTTGGGGTGACCCCCCAGGATGTTTGGGGCCATTCCTGTTCCCAGCTCGGGGTGTTCGTGCCCCCCCACGCCCTGCGCCTGCCCCCGGAGCCCATCACGCGCTGGGGACACTTCTGGTGTGACGTCACGGTGAGGGGACAGGGACACACGGACACGGGGACAGGGGGGGACACACGGACAGGGGGGACCCTGCCCCCCTTCCTGCCCATTTCCCCCCTGTCCTTCCCCCCCTCTCTCCTCCCCATTTCCCCTTTTCCCTCCAGCTGGGGACCCTGGGCTGTCCTGGGGTTTGGGGTGACCCTGGGCGTGTGTTTGGGGTGCCCAGGGCTGGTTTTGGGGTGCCCAGGGCTGTTTGGGGTGGTTTTGGGGTGCCCAGGGCTGGTTTTGGGGTGCCCAGGGCTGTTTG